GTTCTGACCTAATTTGTAAAACTATTAACCAGTCTCTGTTACTTCTGGGAACAGTTTCTGTCCTAATTTCCCTACCAAACTACCTGAGCCTTCAGCTCAATATCCAGGGACTCAAACCCAACATTCTCTGTTACTTCTGGGAACAGTTTCATATTTCTTCAACTTCATTAAATACTCTTAAGCAACTTTAACTGCATAACACACGGTGATTCTCATCAAAATCAAAACAGACACTCCACCAGTAATTTCAGTGAGTAGACTTTAATTTAGTCATATCCAATTTGGCACACTTTGGAAATAATTCAACAGGTAGTGCCTTACCTTTAGATAAGCCGGCTTTTGTCCACTCAAATCAGACCACTGGCTCGTGCCTGTCCGTTCGACCACCTCGGACCGTCCAAACTTTAAATTCCACCCCAATACCACAGGACGAGCCCCCAAAATGTTAAGGTTCAAAATATTGGGGATGGACACCAGAAGAAAAACCCACAATAACAACACTGGTCCGGTCGGGTTGAGTCAAACGATGATTTAATGATCACACACGTGGGAGATGGACACTGTATGCAGACAGTCTCAGATCTCAAAATGGTGGAGCATTGCTCAAACTCTTATAGCCTCTGGTTCTCCCATCTTATCATAAAAGCCTAAACATTCACATTCTTTCTCTCACACGGCGCCTAAGCTACGACCTTGGCTCCCTGTTTATCTGCTCGTGCTGAGATGGGGCAGAAAACTCCAGCATGTTCTATTCTCTTCTAATCAGACAAATAAGGCGATGACTTTCTGCGAACAGCGGTAGGGTAAAGTGTCTTGCCCAAGGACACAACGACCAGGACAGAGAGCCCGGGGATCAAACCGGCGACCTTACGGTTACAGATGGGCTTCTCAACCCCCTGAGCCACGGTCGCCTGCTGATGGTTTAGTTGAGCATTAGACTCCATGGTCACAGCTCATACTGTGACCATGGAGGCACAGATGTGGCTGCTAAAATCTTTTCTCTGCCTCCCCTGATGCCCTTTCACTCTCAACTGTGTGAAGTCTTGTGTAAACAGTATCAGCTTCATTATGATCTGACTACGTTGGTTCATCATCGTCTAGAACACTTTAGGGCCTGTTGCTGGGTAATCTCTAACCTGTTGTTTTTTTTGTGTTTCCAGATGTTGTCCAGCTGTTCTTCTGGTTAGAACTCCATCATCTGAAATCTCAGGGACGTTTCTTCATTTTTTGGATCAAGGAAAATTTCAGCCTGTCAGATCAGATGTCTTCAAGAAGGAAACCTGCGAATGCTGCAGCATTTCTGGTATGCACTCTTAAGCTCTTTGTTAGTCTAGTAAGCAGTGGATGATCAGATTAAACCTTTTTGTTTCCCTTCAGATAATTCTGATGAAAGTCTTTAGTGGTCTCGGTCTCTCGTGCCATCAAGGAGAGTATCAGATAGGAAATGAATGCTGTCCAAATTGTCTTGCAGGTAAGAACCAACTAAATGATGTGTGCATGTGCTTTCTAAGCACACACGTTGGATGCACGGTGAAAAAAAAAGTTTGATTTCTTGCTTTTGTTTTCATCAGGAAATCGAGTGAAAAGTCACTGCACTGTAGAGTCAAGTACTTCCTGTCTGCCCTGCATGACTGGAACCTACACTGATCAACCTAATGGACTGGAACGATGTCATCACTGTACAAACTGTGACTCGGGTACATTTATGTTCACATCTTCATTCCCTGACACTGAATCAGATCTCAACAGAGTTATTTTGTTGTTAATTGTTGTTAATCTTAAATCAAATCAAGACATTAAGGGATGTCTTTGTTCATTAATCCAAATATTCAACATGATGATGTCACATCTTTCCTGATTGTCATAACGATCAAAGGTGTTTTTCAGTCAAGAAATCATGAATCACAAACACATGAAAAATATTGAGTACGTTCTTTTTATGTTGGCAGGTTCTGGTCTCAGAATAAAGACACCGTGTACAGTAACATCAGATGCACTCTGTGAACCACTGGAGGGATTCTACTGTGTCCACCCTACAGGACACAGCTGTGAGAGAGCACAGGAACACAAACACTGTAAACCAGGACAGTACATCAGTCAGAATGGTAGATTTGTGTACCTTTAAGTTTCCTGATCATGTTTATTTTATATAAATAAAACAAATGTTGGGTGGAGGGTGCAGGAAGGTCATCTGGCATAAAAATCTGTGCTAAAACAAAATTCTGACTCATCGAGAATGAGTGTATCAAAGACTGCCTCTGGCGGAAGGTATCTTAGGAAGCAGTGAGAGAAAAGGAAGGAAATGTGACACTAGGGACTATGACGGTAAAGAATGAAAGCTGCTATTATGATGGAGAGAAGAAACGTAGATAATAATGTGTGTACAGGAGAGCAGAATCAGAATCAGAAAGGGTTTATTGCCAGATGTTGAGCAGGTTTACAACATTAGGAAATTGCTGCGGTGCTTCAGTGCAAACATACTGTCATAAAAATATAAAAATAAGAATAAGAATTAAAAGTGCTAAGTGGATAGATATATACATGATATATGCATGAGTGCAGGTGGTGATCAGTGCCAGACATGGAATGATGCAGTGAACACAGCGTAGGGTCATGTGTTAGTGGTGGGAACAGTCATAGTGGTTATTGTTCATGTGTCCAACAGCAGAGGGGAAGAAACTGTTCTTATGGCGAGAGGTTCTGGTGCGAATGGACCGGAGCCTCCTGCCTGAGGGGAGCAGGTCAAACAGACTGTGTCCAGGGTGAGAAGGGTCAGCTGAGATCCGAGCTGCACGCCGCATGTCCTGGAGGTGTACAGGTCCTGCAGAGATGGGAGTCTGCAGCCAATCACCTTCTCAGCAGAGCGCACAACACGCTGCAGTCTCTGTTTGTCCCTGATAGTGGCTCCAGCGTACCACACGGTGATGGAGGAGGTGAGGATGGACTCGATGATTGCAGTGTAGAATTGCATCATCGTCCGTGTTGGCAGGTTGAATTTCTTCAGCTGCCTCAGGAAGTACATCCTCTGCTGGGCTTTTTTAATGACGGAAGTGATGGTGGGCTCCCACTTCAGGTCCTGGGTGATGGTGGTACCCAGGAAGCGGAATGAGTCCACAGAGGTGATGGGGGTGTCAGTCAGGATGATGGGGGGGAGTGGGGCTGTGTGCTTCCTGAAGTCCACAATAATCTCCACTGTCTTCTGGGCATTCAGCACCAGGTTGTTGTGGCTGCACCAGGACACCAGACGTTCAACCTCCCTCCTGTAGGCAGACTCATCCCCGTCCGAGATGAGTCCATAACGGTGGTGTCATCTGCAAACTTGATTAGCTTGACAGACTGGTGGGTGGAGGTGCAGCAGTTGGTGTACAGGGAGAAGAGCAGAGGAGAAAGAACACAGCCCTGAGGGGAGCCGGTGCTGATGGTCCGGGAGTCCGAGACATTCTTTCCCAGCCTCACATGCTGCTTCCTGTCCGTCAGGAAGTCAGTGATCCACCGGCAGATGGGATCAGGCACATTCATCTGGGAAAGCTTGCCTCGGAGATGGTCTGGAAGGATGGTGTTGAAGGCAGAGCTGAAGTCCACAAACAGGATCCTGGCGTAGGTTCCTGGGGAGTCCAGATGCTGCAGGATGAAGTGTAGGGCCATGTTGATGGCGTCGTTTACAGACCTGTTGGCTCTGTATGCAAACTGCAGGTGGAACAGACGAAAGGCCGGGGTCATTGGATGTGGAATCAAACTATACCATGGTGTAGATAGGAAGGGAGTAGGGGTAATATTAAAGTAATAGCATGTCAGCAGTGTTGTGGAGGTGGAGCGAGGCTCAGACAGGATCATGAGTCTAAAGGTGAAACTCAAAGGTGGGATGTTGTCCGCTTTCTGAATGTTCCCTTGAATGTTGTTGCTGTGTATGGCCCACATGTGGTACAGTTAGTGGGAAGAGAGAGAGAGGTATTCTGGAGTAAGTTTAGTGATGTTGTAGAGGCTGGGGATTGGAGCAGAAACTTGTATACATGCAGGTGAAGGAACAGTGGCGATGAGGACAGATAGTGGTGGATTTGGGGAAATGATCAAAATGGCTGGGGTGAACAAATACTTTAGGAAAAGGGTGGAACATGCAGTGAAATAAGAGTGGAGGCAGGTTCACACAGGTGGACTACATCTTGTGCAGAAGGTTGAATGTCAAAGCAAGACAAGACTGCAAGGTTCTCATCAGAGAATGTAACTAAGCAGCATCAGATGGTAAACTGTAGCATGAATTTGCATGTAAAGAAGAGGAAGGAGAGCAAGTTGACAAAGGAAGAATGTTCCCCAAAAGTTGATTCTGTTGATCTGGATGTAGAGTTTACAAACATTTAAAACTCTACGGCCACTGTTAAAACATTTCATACACAGTAAAGTCATAGTTATGAGCCATAAGTATTGATAAAACAGACATGATTACAGAAACCTGGTTACTCACTGTCACAATCCTCAAAGCACAGGCTGAGGAAGAGGAGTTGTAGCAATCCTTCACTGTAGCTTATCAGCCAACCAAAAACACAGACCGAGTTAAACTCTTAGTGTGTGAAGAAGATAGTGATTTAATATGGTAATTATTGTTTATTAGTAGCCACATTATTTATTAGGTGTACAACTATAAGCCCCACACTTATCCGCACATGTCGTTGTTGTCATGTTGTCATCAGGAACAGCCTCCACAGACACTGAGTGCTCTGACTGCAGCAGTGGAACATTTTCAAATGGAACATTTCACTCCTGTCAGCCACACACACAGTAAGTGAAGCTTCAGAGACACATGTGCAACATCTGTACACTGTCCTCTAACAGTGTCCCTCTGTCCTTCCAGATGTCACTCACTCAACCTTCAGCAGATAACAGCAGGAACATCTGCAACTGACTCTCAGTGTGGAGAAAAAAGTAATCATATGACACTGGTTGTCATTATCACTGTGATGCTCTCAGTAGTTGTCATTATTGCTGCAGTGTTATTACTACGACATTACAAAATGAAGGGGTTTTGGAGTGTAAATACAGGTGAGGATTATGAAACAAAGAAATTGTTCTTTTTTTACTAGATCATAATCATTTTTGACAGTGATTTTATTTTTTTATAGATTTTGTTTAATTACAGTCTCAAACAGTTAAGACTGCGTGTTTGTGTCTTTCTCAGTGTTCATTGTATCAGATGTAAACAATGTGTTATCTAAAAAAAATTCTTTTTTTTTCTTTTTCTTTTTCTTTAATGGACCAAAAAGAAGATGTTGTAAAATGATGACATCCGAAGGTAAGACAGTGAGTTGCTGAGTGAGTGAGCTGCACTGATTTCTCTACAGATGTATCAGAGCTTTAATCACATGTGCTTCTCTCCTCAGTGTGGACCATCATGAAGGACAATAGACAGGAAACGATCGGCTCTCTGCAGAATAAACCTGTCCTAGAAGGAGGACGGTGACAGGTTGTGTTTGCAGTGGACAGAAATAAAGAAGCTGAGCGTCCTGCATCGCTCCGGTCTGGATTATGATGATTCATAATTCAGTTCAGGTGCTTCACAAACAAAAGCAATTCCTTTGAAAATCATCAAATACAAGGACTGCACTGAAAACACGTGAGAATTCAGCCAACTTCAGTAATTCTCAAAACATGGCTGCTGGTTAGTTTTCCACCTGTGTTTACGTCCAAAGATCTACACATCTGTATGTTTCAGCTTTGTCCTTCTGTCACAACATTGTTCATCTTCATCTTAACTTCCTGCTAGCTTCTATCATGGTTAAAGCTCATGAGTCATCGGGACATCCAACAATGATGGTGTTACTGGAGCTGAGTGAAGTTTGATGGCTTTATTATCCACGCTGTGACACATGGCAGCTGTCAGAGCAGAACACATGAAGTCAGCAGGTGTGTTTAAATTCAGGCTCTGCTTCATCTGAAGGTCGATTACATCACACCAAGGCGACGAAGCCCATCCAGAATCCGAGGCTCCTACAAACATGTCCTCCTTTCCCTAGATTTGAAGGACAAGTCGGTCCACCCGATCCCAAGATTCATTGCAGCGTGGTAGTGGAACATATATTTTGGTCCAGAGATGGAGCAGCACTCTCTCTCTGAGTCTCTGATGCTGTTTTATGTTTAAGTCTGGCTTCAGTTCAATCTAATTTAGCTGCTATGACATCAGAGAGTGTAGGGAAGGAACAGCCACACCCACAGGTGACATCATGCAGTTTGTGTTTTCACCTTCAGAGGACGACAAATCAACACAGACAGAGAGCTGCATTCAGACTTTCCAGCCATCAGTAATAACTTCAAAAATAATCATCAGTGTTTCAGCAGTTATGATATCAGAGATAATCTAGATATGTGTGACAATACTGAACATGACACATGACACACGACACAAATCATGTGATCCACTCTGACTGCACCTTCATTCATGACTTCAACATGTTGAAATGAGCTTTGAAGAAACATTTAGTGAAATAAAGCTTTCATCACAGGATTAATGGGAGCACCAGTTGAACTTTGTACTAACAACATTTTGAATAACAGTTTGAATAAAGCTCAGGTGTTGAAGATACTCACTGATTGAATGGTTGTTTTCAGCTCTGCTCCCAGTCTTTACTGGTGAAGATAGAAGGTGTTACTGGATCTATAGACAGAGAGACAGAAAAGCATGCTGAATATTTGAAGCTTTGCAGTAGAAATGTTTATATTTTAAATACAACAGAGCTGATGTGGGATCAGTGTGTTCACACCTGCAGATACAAGGTTTCATGTCTTCACACGTCAACATTTGAACATTACTCTGACTTAGACTCAGTCTGAGCAGCCAGACAACATATTTTCACACATCAATACACACAGAGATGAGCCCCTCCCACCTGTCCTGCTCCAAGTCCCACCTCCTTACAGGAAGCAGCTCACCTGTGTGTCTGTGTTTAGTGTCCAGGTGTGGAGTGGAGCTTGTTGTTCGTGTGTGTGTTTGAAGAAACTGTAAGTTTGCTTTGTTTCCTCTTTTAACAGTTTGGTTTTATGAACTTTACTGTTTGTTTCTGCTCTCTAGTGTTTGGAGCAGATGTTCAGCTCTTATTTCAGGACAAACTTTGGATCACTCTTGTGTTTGAAGACTAATCCACATCATTTTAGATTATTGATTGACTGGAATCCACACTGGTTATCCGTCAGTAACTCTGCAACAGTTACTGACAGTATATATCGATCTGTATGAAACTTTAGACCCATCAGACTCTAATCAGTAATCTGATAGAACATTGTTCTTCCCTTTAACTAGAAAAAGTCAGATAAAATCAGTTTGTTCTTAAGAAGTCAACATTCAGGTCTTACTAAAGCAATGTTGAGAAAACAAGAAACAAAGAAGCTCCAGCTCAGTTCAGGATCACTGCAAGGAATCTCAGAATAAAAAAATATATTCTCACAAAAACCACAAACATTAACAGCATGTTTTAAACCCTGGAGGCTGTGACTTACATCATGGATAATGTGCGTAAAATATTATGAACTTGTCGACTTTTCCACGTCTTTGTGTTGTTGTCATGTTCACTTGCTCTTAATAAGTGGATTTGGAGTTTTCTTCTTTAGCATTTGAAGGTTTTAATCATTAATAGTTGGTCAGAGTGTGGTCACTTGTGTTTCTCTCTATTTTGAGGTCCCAAGTCTCTGAATTTTTTTTTAACGCTTTGAAATGTTCAGATCTAAACCACTTTAACAAAGACTGCACAGTTGTGTCCAGAAGCTCAGGTCTGAGTCTGTCTCAGACCTTGTTGTCAGCAGAGCTGAGGAACTACAGAGCATCAACAGTCTGATCCAGACTGTTGATGCTTTCCTTTAACAATGACTCAGGATAATTCATGAAAACAGAAAATTGGATTTAAAAGTAGAAGGAACAGACTAGAAAGCTGTTTCAAACAATCAAACAGTTTCTCTACTGATAGCTGATGATTGACAAGTCACAGAAACTTGTCAAGCTGGTAGAACAGAACAAGAAGTGAAACATTTCTTATTTACTTTAAGTAAAAAAAATCTGATAAATAATGTGGATTACTGAGTAAATAAACTTCTGATGTATGTTAGTGTTTTTACAGCTCTGTTAAACAACCTGTTGTTACTGCTGATGCATCCCAAAGATCAGATGTGCTGCAAACTGAAACTATGCTGCATGCAGTTACCTGTTTTTCCAGTTTAACTTTTTATGAAGATTATTTCCTTGTCTGAAAACACCGCCTATCATACAAAGCATTTTTGTTTCTCACGAATATGATGGAAGACAGAGGAAGAAACTAACGCTTCTTCTCACCTGACTGTGTTCCTGTTACAAACATTATAGGGATATTATACAAATTGCTGTAGTTTATAATATAGCTTTTAAACATTTATTTATGCCTGTGTCCCTGAATTAATTTGATAATCATGTGAAGAACTTGTTGTCTACACATGAATTATGGTCTATTAATAAAGTCGAGACTATTAATTCTATGATGATATTATAAGCACTCTTGGTCTGTCAGCTTTCTGGTCAGCTTCCTTCTCTCACCCCAACACAGCAGATGGCAGCGCTCCCTGAGTGAGGCTCTGCTGGAGGTTTCTTCCTGTAAAAAGAGTTTTCCCTTCCCCTTTTACCAAAGTGCTTGTTCATATGATTGAGTTTTGGGGGGGTTTGCATTACTGTAGCTGTCTTTTCCTTACTATAGAAACAACTTTTGGTTTGTTGCTTTTGCTATAGAAATAAAAATTGAACTGAACTGGTGCTGTCAATATAGAAACTGTTTGTTCTCATAGTTCCTACTGAAAGTAATATAAGTGTGAAACGTTGCTTTAAAAAAGGATTTAAAGCTAAACAAATGACTTTTAGCTCAGTGTTGCTAAACAGTGTATTTTAACCCAAACCATGATGATGAAATAGAAATCACAGAAACTCTGTCTGCTCTCTTCTGGTGTGTTCAGAGAGCAGGGAGGGTTCTCTGTTTGAGTTAGGATTAAGACTGTGTTGGTCAATCGCTCTAATCTTCTTTGCCGTTTAATAAAAACAAACAAACAAACAACAACTACAGGATATAATAAAAATCATTTCTCACATACTTGACTCCTCTGCTCAGCAGTATCAGGGCTCTTTTCTTGTTTTCTACTTTCTTGGCTTCCTGTCATGAAGCAACTGCCATTTTGTTTTTTTCTTCCATATGTAGTCTCAGTTCTCCATTTTAGAGAATGTAAAGCTGCTGAACCTGTTTTCATGTTAGTGTCTGTAGCATCTTTTGAAACAGCATTTCTACAGTGTAGCACGGAATCGGTTCACTAAACAGGTTCAGAGGAATAACTGGAATATTTCCCAAACAGAGAGAGCCTGATGAGATTTTTATACCCAGTGTACACTGTTTCTACTTTGAAATATACAATTTTTTGTGCTTTTTAATTCCACAAGATAAAAATCTTTTGTTTCTTGGATTCCAATAAATTTTACTAAATCTTCTATTTGCAAAATAAAACCAATAAAGGCTCAACTAGAGCTTTAAACCAGTGACAATAAATAGGTTTCAAAGAGTTATTAAGTTGCTGTCAGATTAGGGAGCTCTAATGTGAAAGGGCAAGTTAAATATTAGGAACCACCATCGAAGAGACTCACCTCTGCTTTTGAGCTCAGATCTATAAATGTCTAAAATTAGTTGATTCATAGACTTCAGGGTTATGTTAAGACTGGCAGGCTGTAAACGTTCGGTTAGGTACAGTGGCAACAAACCATCTGCACAGACACCATGCTAACACAAAGCTAGCCAGGAACACAGAGTGATGTCAAACCTGAGTCTCTGGAGCACAGCAGCCAGAGCCTGAACTACAACTGATGAGCAGTCAAGCTGCAGCCTCCTTTTCTACCTGTTCATGTTTCTAAAGTAGAAACACTGTGATGTGCGCTTTGATCATAGAGATCAAGAGAAAGTGATCTGTGTTGGTGTGTGAGGCTGTAGTCTGTAGGTTTATATTGTTTAATTGTGAGACAGTTTCAGATCATTTATGGAGACGTGAAAATAGTGTAACAAATTAGAGCTGGGCGATATAAGATTTTTTCATATCACGATATGTTTTCTTCATTTCAGGCGAT